CCCGGTTCCCTTATCTCGGCTTGCTCATATTTTGTTTCCAATTGTGATGAAGCGAGATAAAATACATCGCTCTTTGAATAGTGTAACATGTAGCCAGGCAGGAGCCTGCACTTCCTGATATGACGGCAATCCAGTTTTGCCACGACACCACAGCACGCATGATGCAGCATGTCCTCGGGCACGGATCGGCATCTTGCGGCTCTTTAAGGGCCTGCTTCATGACTTTATTTATTAGGGACCACCGTCTCGTAGTCAAATGTATTGCGGCTCTTGCAATATTGAGTTTTTTTTACCGAGTTTGAATAAAATGGCTCTCCTTGTATATTGAGATACAATACATCTCGCCATCGTGGGGTGCCCCACGGCCGTGAGATGTTAACTCCCTCGCCTGGTGTGCAGGAGGTCGTGGGTTCCATCTCCCCGTGGTCGTATGGATTTTTCTCAGGGTCACCCGGTTTTTCCATTCCGCATTTAGAAACGTGCTTTTAGAGTATTTGGCCGCTGTGCATTTCCACGTGATAAGCCACTTCGTTGAGCTATCATTTGTGGCCAGGTTGCTTCTGAAAGAGAGCTATACAGCTCAGTGGGCCTTGCCTGGTAAAAAAAATAGTAAATAGTAATTTTGGTTGCTGATCCCTGTCCTAAGGTATCACAATACAGCTGGACTTCACGATGTATGAATTCATCGATTGCTTTATTGATTATCGGTTCATTTACTCAACGAATCGGGTTGCCAACCATTTTTACAATGGGCCGAGTAATCGGCCGTAAACACCAGTAGCCAATAACAATCATCAGTCGATTAATCAACTTGCGCGACTAACCGTACCAATGCCAGGTCACAGCAAAGCTTGCACTTGTGTTGTTAGAAGTGTTGTGACTCAATTCACAATGAAGAGGTCATCATTAGAAAACCACTTGAACTATGCACTTTAAAATCTAGATTGAAAACTCATTTATTTACAATTTGCTTTTTGTGTTTAGTTTGCTCTCCTTCCCCCGCACCTCCAATGAGCACGGATGGCGACGTATGGTGCCAAAGAAGTTCTACAATACATATTGTTGGCTACGTACGGTTCAACAGAAGTTCAACATGCACACGTGCATCATGACCATTGCTTTTGGCATCACTTGGCCCATTACTTCCTTCTTTCAGACCTCACAACTGTTGCATAGTTGACACCTGATTCACAAAGTTAACGTGAACACGATCCTACCAGATGGCTTTGGGTCATGCCCTTGGTTGCTCACCTTTGGGTGCCTGCCTTGCTACCCTGGACCCCTACACCCTGCATGTGCCGAGTCAATCGCAACCTCTTTCTCTTTGTCCTCCTGTTGTTCACAATGCTTTCCTTCCATCACATCCTCTTCTGAGCTGACAAGTTTGCTTACCCACTTCTGCCACTCAATTCCTCGTACGTTATTCTCTGCCTGGATCTACATTCACGACCCCTGTTATTACCGTACCTAACAGTCACGTTTCACGCTGACATCACTGTAGTTAAAGTGCCGGAGGCTTAAAGAAGTTTGTGGGTTTAATTCTCTGCTCTAGGTTGTTCGCAGTCCATCATCCCTCCCCTGGTGAGCTTTTGTGTGTGTGAAGTCAACAGTCATCATACTAAAGATAGACTGGCCCTCCTTTCCAACCTCTGGCTGAGGGCCACCAATCAGCAAGAGGTGAGCAGCGCCCCCCCTCACCGCTGCTGCCCTCTATCAGCAGGTGAAAGTGTATCGTGCTCGCGTTCATTCGGGTTGCTCCATTTCGCGGCTATGCGTATTCACTCCCGACGGGTCGACTCGAAGGTGGCTTGGGTGTGCGTAACGCGAACCCGTGGTTCGCGGTTAGCTCGGCCTGTGTGAAACCCCATCTCCCCCACCCCCCCACTACCATGCGAGGGGGGGGGGGGAGCGGCGTTTCTCTGTGGTGCCAGGCAGACTTGTCAAGGAAATTATCCATGTGCCCCCCCCCCCCCCATATCACTATTTGTACACATGTTTATTTGTGGATACACGAGGTGGCCTCGGGCAGCAGCTCACGGGGGCTAATACTGTGCGAAAGCACCCTGAGCTGGCACTGATGAGAGATGTCGCCGATGATTATTGTTCAGCCACTGATGGTTAAACGGAGTTCTCGATTGGTCCACAGCGCGTCTGGATGTCAGAGTCGTCGGTCTGCGATAACTCAGCCAGATCTAACTGCTGATTTCACAGGCTAAAAATAGGCACTTTTCAAAGGGCAAGGGGGACTAAGACATGTTGTGAGTACATGCAGGTACGCGTGTGCTGCTGGGCCCGTCCAGTATTGCGAGACGTTTCCACAATTCTGTGCCGTGTAACCCAAGCAATATTTTACTCGGTGTATGTTATTTCATATTCAGTTTTGGCCTGAATGCTATTTTTTTGCCGAATCGTTAAACTGTCATTACGATTCACAATTTATTTTCGGTTCGGATCGATCGCGGAAGTAAAAATTTGTGTCATGAATCCCTCCTCCACCCCAACACAGCCAAATAATAAAGCTGTCAGCACCGTTGTGTTTTGGAGAGCGGTCTTACAACATTTGACATTAGGATACGACGTTTCCGCCGATGGTTACAACCAGCATCATCGGGCAGTTTCCAGAATTGTGCAATGTTGTGAGATGGTTCTCAAACACACCGGTGGTGATGCTAAAGCGGTAATAAATTGGCCACGTTAGTGCACGTGACAACTTTATGAATCGGCTGTGTCGGGTGGCGGGGAGGGTATTTTACGACGCAACATTTTACTCGCACAGCGATCTGACCCAAAATGTGATTACGAATCATATTGGTCACGAAAGCCCAAGGTTTTGACTCGAGTGTAGACCTAGACTATCCTGTTAAGTAATTGTTTAAGCTGCAGATTATCAGTGCAATCGTTCAACTATAATCGCATGACGTGACAACAGTTGGGCAACAAGTCCTCGCCTCTGTTCCCACGTGGTGCCACTGGACGTGAGATGCAATTGCCGTGATGCCCGGTGACGGTATCGCCATAATCGGTGATGTCACGCTGATACCTGGCGCACCGAACTTCCCATTTTATCAGGTTAGCCATGAATCAACTTTCCTGATTCCTGTGATGTCTTCTGGTTGACTGAACCACAGTTGGGCCTCCAGGCTGTTGTGATTGGCTCAAAATGACCTTTGGTCGGTTGTGAAATGCACTGACATCTGTCTATGTAATGTTTTTGGTAAACAAGCTGTCTAATTGCACTACCAAGTTTCAAAACAGCCATGCAACATTGCATGCTGCTGCAAATAAATACTAGACCTAATGCACGGACCCTTTAGCACGCGCAAAGCCACGTACTTTATTCGCACTCACACTTTCTGTCAAACTTTAAAATGTGCGTGCTTAATTGTCTGCAGAAATCCGTACATATCACCTTCCTGTTTTTATGCAGCCTAAGTCATGTATTTATAGTAACACTCGTACCTCACAGCAAGAAGGACCTGGCGTTCGGTTCGCACAATGTGACTGGTATTGGCCGAACATCCCAGTGTTCCAACAAAATCTTGGCAGAGATCCTCCTTAAAAGGTCCTGAGACATTGAGGCTTTTTCTGACTTATCAAGCGGAATAATAATAATGATGACTTTGGACTCGCTTTAACACGTAAGCTTTCGCCACCAATATTATTCATAATCAAGGTTTTCGTGTTCGATTACGTAAATATAAATGACACAATCTTGTTCTATTTAAGACCCAAAGCAGGAAGACTTCCTCATAATTCTGGCAAACCACCTGATGAAGCTGGTTGTAATCACCAGCGAAACGTCGTACTCAATTATAAGCATTGTGGGTTTACTCGGCAATTAACCGATGCGCTGAAGTAACAGCTAATTGGCGTTTGTTACTCACGTGACAAATCTTACTAATTGGCTGTGTCGGGTGGTGGTGGTGGAGTTAACGGCACATTTATATTTACACGATCTCACCCAAAACCTTTTATTATGAACTATGGACTCCCCTTCAATTCCCCTCTCGACTCCCTTTCACCCTTCTGCCCGTGCAGTCCCATCCAGTAGCCATCGTGGCGTGCGGACAACCAGACGTGGTCGTCGCCACTTCTCCTGCTTTTCCAAAAAGCCATCAAGTTACTCACTCGATCTCCCTGTTCAAGTCCAAGACTTTCATTTTCTCATCCCCCTCCGGGGAATTGCCCGGTGTATTTCTTGTCATTATTATCAGTATTCATTATCCTTGTTTACCCGGGAAAGTGGCCACTGAATCGCAAAATACTTCTTATGGAGGGTCTTGCCAAGTTTTCCTTTTTACAGTAGGGGGAGGCGATGTTGCTGCGCGTGATCCTGATTGAGTCATTCTTAAAGGCATTGTCATGTTTTAGCATTTGGGATATTTGGATTGTTTTTTTTAAGTTGTTGGAGGTAACCGGAGAATTTGGAGGAAACCAATGCAGAAAAGGGGGAGAGCATACAAACTTTGAAGTTAAGTCGCATTTCTCGCCTTCTCCACTCATCTCATACCTCCCTAAATGTCCCCATGGTTCGTTGTTGGATTTTTTTTCCACCGCAATGTCGCATCTCCCGACCCTCTCGTACATTTGACGTGCGACGCTGCTACGTTTCACGATGCCGGCAATCGGGCTCCTAGTTGTGTGTGTGGGGTGGGGAGGGGGAATGCTTGAGAGGGTGGGGGAGGCCTTGTCGAGGGGTAGAGAGAGAGGGGGCTAGTTGTACCTGCCTGCATACCTTTGACGCGACCGCATTTGCATTTAGCCCTCGAGCGGGGGAGGTCTGTTGCAGGTGAAGACGAATCCATCGCGCTGCGTCGTCACGGAAGTTAAACGCGACCCAAGCTTTAGTTTGGGTGCGTTACCTCGTTCGTTAACGCTTTCCAAAAAAAAAAACCCATCGATGTCGCGTTGGTGTGCACAGTTTGAACGCATTTTAGTTTTGTCGCCCCGATGTTTTTTTAGTGGGGCCCCGTTCTTGTGCGAGTCGCAGCCCCTTCCCCCCCCCGGCAGCCTGACAGTGAACGCGTCCAGGAAGTTTCTCTGCGTGTTGATCACTCGCGTCGACATTGAAGGGAAACCAGGAAGTGCACCGATGTGCGCTGTAGCATTCAGGGCTACCGAAGGCGTCTTGCTGCAAACTTGCCCGGTGCCACACGGCTTGAGGTCTTTCTGCGCTCGTACGAGGACTCGTGTAATGTGACAGTGTAATATAGGCCAGTTATATATATAACTTACTTGCCAGCCATTCAGGCTTTCGTTGGTGTTGCGATCCTTTGCTGTATTATTAATGCGGCTGTCGCGTCGCTGAGTTTAATGGTGCCGTGTGTACGCTTGGCCCGGGCAATTGGGGGTGCTCGTCGTCCTGTAGCCGTGGGCCATGGCCGTCGCTGAGCACGTGCGGTCATGCAGACCTCACTGGACCGCTGGCGGAGCCAGCTGAATAGGAGGCACCTCTCTGTTTACAAGACCATCCTCACTGTGGTCAGGGTGAGCCGGCTCAGCAAGAGACTTCTTCACTCGAAGGTAAGGGGGGCTGCCCTTCGTAGCCAAGGCATTTCACCGTTTCGAAGCGTGCTGCTGTGTATTTGCAGCGTTAATATAAAGTGCTTTATGCGGTGTTATTGCCACCGGTTACTAAAAAAAAAGTCCCGCGTAAAATTTCGGGACGGAGTCGTTGACTCATCATCGCTCCAGACTTCTACTGTTGATAAAATAAGTGCCGCGTTGTCGGAAGTTAATGCCAGCTGTTCTTTAAAGTAACTGGCTTATGCCGTGAAAAAAAATGTACTTCCCGAAACTGTCTAAGGGACTAAAGTGGAGATTAGCAATGGCGAACACACCGAGTCGCGAGAAAAACACATTAACCTGAGCTCCTGTGTTCTGTTCCTCCTCGTTCATGTTTCACAAACTGGCCCGGTGACTGCGTGTGGGTGGTTTGCTGTGCACTTTGCCAAGTTGTTGTTGGTAACCGGAGTTGTACAGTCTCGCTTATCAGCATCTTGCGGTAAGAAAAAAAAATAGTTTTATATCGCGACAAATAAAAACAAATAAATTCAGCTGAATCAATCGCCATGGGGATTCCCACTCGTAGACGCTGTCGACGGGATGAGATGTTTCCGATAACGAGGTGGATTCGGTTGGGTGGTCTGCAGTGGTTCGAGCACGAAACTCTCAAGGTTGTGAGTTCAAATCGCGGTCAAGTAGTTGGCTTCGCTCTACACATTCCTAGATAAAAAAAAAATTGCGTCAATAAAACCAGTTCGAAGTTGCTGGAAGCCAAATAGTGTTTACTCCCCCACCCCCTGCCGTCCATGAATAGACTGGGCCCCAGCATGGGAGCGTGGAATTTCTTCCACTGGCTCAGGGCCACCGTTTTTGATAGGTACCACCTCTCAGTCAATTGAGCAGGACGGCTCTTTGGTTGAACCGCGATTTTGATGGTCGCTGAGATGACCGGAAACTCCAGTTTCATTTATTTCATTTCAGTTTCATTTATTTGGAATAACCCTGTGAGCCATTCGGCTCTTGATTCGGGTGCAACCGTAACAAACAATACAATTACAAGATACATTTAAAATGTACTGCACGCAAATTGAAACATGCCCTACAAAAACAGCTTACTCAGAGCACCCTGTGACCTGACCTTTCAGTAGGACTCTCGCATATCTGAAGTCACACACGCGCCCTGACCAATCCACCGCACGCCTAGCAAGCGGTGGTTTTTAGCAAGGCGTAACTTTTTTTTTCATAGCGGTCACAAATGTGACATTTCTCCTGTCCGGTAATGCGTTCAAGTCGGGTGAATTCACTGACGGCTGAAGTACAACAAAGCATTGATGGTCCACATTTAAAGCACGTTGTGATTTTTATATTTATCCGCTAACCTGTTTGCACAGTGGTGTAACTTTCATTCTTGATAGACGTTCACATATTCGACCTTCTCACATTTTCTCCGATACCTCAGTCCCTCCCCCCCCCCCCACAGCGAGTCAGATATATGCGACGCAGTACACATGGGCTTGCGGAAGCGCTTAATGCGCATATGCTGCTTACATTCTCGTGCCTCCGATCGGCACGGTTGGCTACGTACGGTGCGAAATAAGTTCAACATACACATATGAGCTGCAGTGCATTCTGCTCACGGCACTGACTGATCAATGTGTAAGCCAGCGCACCTTTTTGGCAGCCTTGCCTCTCGGGCCCTATGTCAATTTAAATGTTAAACAAAGTAACCCGTGATAAGTTATCGCTGCGGGCCTCGTGACTGTAAATCACGGTGTAAGATCGCGGTCCTCTGTGAGCGGCAGTAAAACCTCACTCTCAAAGGAAGAGACGGCCGATGGTGATGTGACAGGGCCGTGTGGTTTGGGGTTGTCTCGCACTGGTTTGAAGAATAGTAATCAGGAAACAATCCACTTCTTGAGTGTCATCTTGGAGTATTGACGTTGCCCGTAGTGATGTCATTGCAATGAAGCATTCAAAGTCATGGCAACTCTCCTGGGAGTCACTTTAAAGGGTTTTTTTTCTCCTCCGTTACGAAGCTTCAAACTATTGGACAGCTGAGAAACACAGCCTAGGCAGGCCCTGTGTGTACAAAGTAACGTGTTTTTGGGGTTTAAGAGTTGTCAGGGTCCTCGACACCAGTGCTTCTCAACGGGGGGAGGTACGTTTACTTCTGGGGGTACGTGAGTCGATTTATAAATGTGTTAAATTATATAATACACAAGCGTCATTGGTGAGTAATCGCGCACGAATCTGCCAATATAAAATAACTCCGATAAAATGTAAACTCATATGGTAACCTCGAACTATATTGAAGAAGACCTTTCTTAGCTCGGTCATACACAATGCGGTCTCCCAGAGGATGCGGCGGGAGCGTGAACAAATGACGTCACGTGTGCAGAGCGCCCGTTGAAGTTTTAATTCACTTGCAGTTACTATCCAGTTAGGATAACTCACAAAAATAAGTTGTTTTAATTCGCTTGCAGTTACTATCCAGTTAGGATAACTCACAAAAATAAGTTGTTTTAATTCGCTTGCAGTTACTAGCCAGTTAGGATAACTCACAAAATGGACATTTGGTTAAACTATTGATGTTCATTATTCATACGTTTATTTCTCAGACCCTGTACAAGAATACGGGGTAAACCGTATGGGTTGACAGGTATGGAGGGTTGGAGTTGACCCTGATTGCAATTTGCACCTGCAATCTTCTGATTGTGAGCCACGATAAACTAAAGAGCATTGGCTGGCTTAGATGACAATTCTTATCAGCTTTTCTTCGTCGACGTAACTCATATCGTGCATCGTGGGATGTTGACGTCTCGTCCACACAACGGAGCAAGTTTTACCCACGCATTTTCAACCGAAATCCAAGGGGAAATCCCCTTATCCGCTAATTCTCATAATTGTGGATAAACAATAGTTCTACTCTACTTAGAAAAATATAAATCACCTTTCGCAGTAAGTAGTGGCAACAAAGAGGCGCTGTTGAGGAGGTGGAGCGCAGGGATTGTTTGTTCATAAATCACTCCGCAGCGAGACGTTATGTCAGTGCAAGATTACACACAAATCTACAGACTTTCGACAGGCAGATTGCAATTCCCAAGTATCGGCCAGGAAGCTGGTTGATGCCTTGTACAAGGGAATACGTTTTTTTGTTTTCGGTAGGATGTTGCTACTTGCGGAGTTGCACAATGTTTTTTGCGCATTGTTATTTTTAAGCATCAAAGTTAAACACAAATGCCATCTGATGAAATCTCTGGAAGGTGGACGCACTGTACTTCCTCTATGATATATTCAAGTTGATTCAAGAATGTTTTCCTGCTCAAATGAGCATCACTCATCTCCATTGATGGCCGTGAGCCAAAGGTTGTATTTCACGTTTGTATGCCAAGGAAGGGGGGGGGCAGTGCTTAGGAAAAGCACTGCTGAGGCGAGCGAGGAAGATTGTGGCCGATTCCTCTCACGCTGGATACTCTCTGTTCCAGCAACTCCCCTCCGGCAGAAGGCTGCGGTCCATCAGGACCAAAACCTCACATCATAAAAACAGTTTCTTCCCATCTGCTGTGGGCCTCTTCAGCAAGGCCAAGGGCTTAAAATGATTTTTACACTTACTTTAACATTTTATCTACAAAATTACACCTTGCCATATTTACAACATGTTGCCCCATTTGTATTTTTGTATTTTAGGATTGTATATTACGGCTAGTTTACATTTTATATTGTATACTTATTCAAAATTTTACATACTTTAGCCCCTGAGTATTAGTTAGACTTTGTAATTTTAGTATAGTTTGACTGTATACCACTTATTTAAGTTTTAAGATTCCTACATGTTGAATGTATGTATCTTCCTGCCATAGTAAATTCCCTGTTTGTGCAAACTTTCATGGCGAATAAAACCCTTTCTGATTCTGATTTGCACAAGGCCACGTGGGGAATACGAGTGATGCTCGTTCTATTCAGCCCAGAAGAATAACAGCCCGAGTTTAACTCTGACCAGGATTTGAACTCGCAATCTTCCACTTGAGAGTCGGCTGGCAATCTCATCTCACGGCGCGACTAACCCGGTGCATGCCCCACTGACACATATTTAACATTGCACGCGACGCGTGTTCCTGCGGTACAGCGTCGCGTATCTGACCCCGTCACGCATTTGCCTCGATGCACAAATGCTGCCCACGCCAGGGCAGCATGTATTTGTATTTGGTGTAACTCTCCTTTTGAACAGATGTTCACAAATCTGACCTTTTCACACATAGCCACGTGGTGTTAATCTGGCCGTTTATACGCTCAACTTCGAAAGTATGTTTCTACGTTGAAAGCAGTTTGCAATTTAGTTTTGTCCAGTAACCGACAGTATTTGTGCACGGACTAACTCATTTTCTATAGATGTTCACAGATCTCATCTTTTCACATGTTCACCTGTACCTCACTCCCCCCACAGAGTTGGATATGCGGCGTTGGACTGTGCTGCGTTTGCGTAAATTTAAATTACGCTTTTATTTTTTTCGATAGCATTCAATGCATATAATTGCTTGTGACTTCAAAATCCTTGTTGTTTTATCTGCTGGCGTTGGCGCCCATGTGGGAGGCGATATGCCCGTGGCAGTAGCCGTCTGCTAAAAATGAAAACAAGAAACCACGGCGCTCTGTTTGTCATGTATGTATCTGTGTATGTTGAATTTCTTATGCACCGTACGTAGCCAAATGTGCTCATCAGAGGTGTGGGGGAAGGACAACAAACTAAACACAATAAAGAAATTAGTTTTCAATCTTGATGATTTAAAAGTGTGTAGCTCCAGTAGTCTTCCTAATATTGAGAGGAAGAGCGTTCCAGACGGCCGCAGAAGCGCATTTGAAAGCGCCGTGTGATGCGGTGACCGTCTTTGTTCGACGAGTAGCGAAAAGCCGCTGCTTCGAGGATGAACAGAGTTAGAGGCGCACGCACAAAACTATCACGCTGTGTGGTCAACACAAGACGACGTCTCTATCTGTATGTTAAGGCTCCCATAGACCCG